ATTGGCCTAGGCAAAGAGTTTCTGAAGAAGTCCCCAAAGGCAATCACAGCAGCAACAAAAATAAATAAATGGGACATGATCAAACTAAAAAGCTTCTGCACAGCCAAAGAAACAGTCATGAAAGTAAACAGACAACCTATATAATGGGAGAAAATTTTTGCATCCTATGCATCTGATAAGGGGCTGATAACTAGAATATACTTAGAACTCACGAAAATCAGCAAGAACCTCCTTTTTAATAGTTGAATCACTAGGTAAGAATAACATCGTGGTGGGAAAAAAAATGGAAGAAAATATAAGAGATAAATGTGGAGGAGAGAGGTAGCAGGTAGAGATTGGAGAGAAGGGATTGACCTGCTTGGTGGCAGAGAAAAGCATGTAAAAAATATTTACAATAGTTTAATATGTATAAAAACTGATGTATATATTAATGTAGGAAAGTATCTTCAATTAACAAAAACAAACAAAAAACTGGCTACCCTCAGTCTGAGGGTTCATTTTTCTTGCATAACAAGGACAGAGAGGTAGGTAGCTGCTGGTTCAGCAGGTCAGCAATGTCAAGTCCAGTGTCTCTGTGGGATTGCTGGGTCAAAGGGAAGATGCATTAGTAATTTTGCTAGATGTCCCCAAATGCCCCGCACAGGGATCATGCCATTTTGCATTCTCTCAAATATAGCTTATAGGATTAATATTCCTAATGGATAAACAGCTTCTAAAATTGAGAAGAAAATCAGCAACAACCCTACAGAATAATGGGCAGAATATATGAACAGTTGTGTGTGGGGGATGAAAATTGCCATTGACTGTATGGTAAAAAGCTCAACCTCCTCAGAATATGAAAAATGCAAATTAAAATTGTACTGAGATATCATTTCTCACCTATCAGATTGGCAAAAATTCAAAGCCTGACGACACTCTGTTATAAGACTGTTAGAAAACAGATTCTGTCCTAAGTTGCTGGTGGAAATGCAAAAGGATACAACTATTATGGAAGGGAATTTGGACCATCTAGCAAAATTACAAATTCATCTGACCTTTGACATAACAATCCTATTTCTAGGAATCTATCTCAAAAATAAACTGGCGAAAATACAAAGTGATGTTATGTGCAAAGATATCCATTGCTAATAATTGTAACAGTAAAAGGACAGAAACAATCCAAATGTCCATCAGCGGGGGACTGGTTGGATAGACTATGGTGTAGCCACATAGTAGAGTGTTATATAGCTATAAAAGTGAGTAAGAAAGGTCTCTCTCTATATATACTTATATAAAATAATTTCCAGGATATATCATAAACTAAGAAAGGCAAAGTACAGGAAAGTTTTTCTAGTATGCAACTTTTGTTTTAGAAACGGGGGTATATGAATAAATAAATATATTTGCTTATGTTACCCAATGGTGATAATGCGAGGATAATCCCAAAAAACCATAAAAATGGAGGCCTATATGGAGGGGAAGGAAGAGGGTAGAGGGGCAGGATGGACCCTGGACTGAACTGCAATGTAACGGGTTGTATATTTTGACTTTGGAACCATATAAAAGTTTCAAATCAAAAATAAAATTAAAGAAAGATATAAAGGAAATTTATAAAGGTTGGAGAAATGGAAACAAATGATAATAATAGGTAAGTGATTTAGCCACACAAAGAAGTGTTATTGCAAACAATTCTGTACAATATTTTGATAATATATCCTTGATGGTATATATATCCTGAGGACTAAAAAGAATCATGAAAAAATCCTAAACTGCATTCAAGGGTCTATAAATCAGGACAGACTAGATGATGTCATGTTTATAGTAACAAATAAACCCAAATCATGGTGCCTTCAACAATAAAAGATTCTTTTCACTCATGTTACGTGTTTATTGTGTGTTGTCTTCCCTCCGTGACCCAGGGTGGGGGAAGAACGTCTGTCTGGAATATTGTTCCACTCATAGAGGGGGAGGGAAAAGGGACTCAAGTTCTTCAACCTTCTTCCTGTAAATGACCAAGGTCACTGTTATTTCACTCTCATTTTATTGACCAAAGAAAGTCACATAGCCTGAGTTCAAAAGGGCAGGGAGGTATAAGCCTCTGCAGAGATTGGTACCAAATATGGGTGAGCAATAACACAGTCTCCCACAGCGAGCAGCTTATTGGTATTGTCATTATGAAACTATCCTGTGTATATTGGAGGACTGGAAAGTATATACTTTTATTAATGTAATTATGAGCCAAGGTTTTCAGCACAAAAAACTAGAGACACAAGTAAAAATCTAAATGAGTTAAAACTCTGTAATCTTACATTTTCATTGGAAATACCAATATGAACTTCTAACTTATCTTTCCCCAAAGAGACCTGTTGCCTTTTGCGAGGGTAACTGTACACTGGGGGGAAAGTCCACAAATCCACCCCTAGTTTATTGCTCTGGCTGTCAATTATAACTGTGGTTAGAATGCAGAGTTGCGATGATTGTACTTAACAGGTAGCAGATCCCTCCTCGCTTCCCTGACTCATAGGGTAAAAGTCACTGTGATAGGAAGGCCCATGTGGAAGCTACCCTTTGGCCAAGACAGTACATCCGAAGCCATATTTCATTCTAAGAGGAATTACAGAGATTACTGCCACTTTTTAGGACTTAAAGGATGGGGGACAGTGGCTCCCATCACATCTCTATTCAATTCACTTTTCCGGCCTTTACAAAAACCAGACACATCATGGAGGATGGTGGTAGGTTGTGTAAACTTAACCAGGTGGCAGCCCCAACTGCAGCACAGCTGCTGTGCCACTGTGGTACCTCTGGCACTTGATATGTGGCTGTTGATAGGGTGAATTAACTTTTTCTTTATCCCTAATAACAGGGAGGTCAAACGCAGTCCTTTACATGGCAAGGAAAGCAAGAGAGCTTCTCTATCGTTCCTCTGTTCTGAAATGCATTGGTGCAAAGGAGGTAGGTGCTGAGAGAGCCAGGGCCACCTGCTCATGCCATTTACTTGTGCTGAATGCTGACTGTATCATTTTTATCACACAGTGGATTACTGCTATATCCACCCAACCTTATGACTCACTGGATCTGTAATAGTCAGATCACAGTGAATGTCTGTGGTGCAGCACTGTCTGTTGGTGTCCCGTGGTCAAGCGTTTAGTTTCTGATGGGGTTCAAGAGCTCACCAGACTCAAAACATGTCCTTGCCGCAGAACCTCAGGGGTCTCCCCTGCATCTCTCCTACTGAAGTCTGTTAGAACCCCTGCAGCACTATCCACCATGGATGCCTCTCCTGGCATTATCAGCTCTGCTGGGTCACCCATCCCAGGGGGAGGGAAGCTTGTACAACTGCCTGAACATGCTGGAGACCCTTTTTCTCCCTCTGAGCCCCACTTGAAACTGTCACCCTCTGAGCCACCCGACAGGACTTGGACCTGGCTCTAGGAACATTCATATACTGTCGACTCTAGACAGAAATGAACTGTGACACATCACAGCCCCACGTAGAGGTGGTCCCCAGAAATAATAGTGGAGGAAAATCCTCCCTGTTGGCAGAGCTGCCAGCGGTACATTGGCTTACTGTGTGGACATGTGGCCTCCTTGGTAGTGGTGAATGGCCTGGCCTGTTGGTCAGGGGCCTGGAAGGAAAAAGACAGTAGTCCATGTGTCACCTCCCGTGTCCCAACCCTGCAAAGTGTCCCTGAGCTGGCCTTTTAGCTGAAACTTCACCAGGTCATTCTGCCATTTTTTTCTCCAGCAAGTTGTCTCATATTGTGAGACCATTATGTCGTACCTGTTTTCCTACAGTGCCTCTACCAACACGGCCACCTGAGGGTTGACAGAATGCCTCATCTTTTGACATGAGACCCTGTTACATTGTCACAGGCTGAAGAGCACATTTGACTACCCACCAGGTATGACACATTCGGCTCAAAACCACAAGATACAATACTTTTCCAGGTACCTCATCACCCAGACAACCAGCATTGTGAAGTCTCAGCTATTGGGCCAGCTCAGGGACATCTCGCAAGGTCACCACACTGGGTGTGGCACCTACACTGAAGCAGAACCAATCCTTGGTGCTAACAGGCATGGTCCAGACCCCCGTGGTGAACGTAGGATTGACAGTCTCACTGTCACTCCCTGTACAGACGTGTAGAATTTTAGCTTCCTGTTCCTACCACCAGAGATTCCGCTGGATTAGAGGTCTTGGAACCCAGGTGGGGATGTTTTCACCAGGGGACATAATAAGGATTCCACTAAACTGGAAACTGCAGGACCAAATGGTGGTAGAAGTGAGAGATGATGAATATAAATGTTGATCATTGGGCCAGCTGCGGCAGCAGGGACTGTAGCTTTGTTTGCTAAACCTTTTCAGGTCTCCAAGAAAATTGCAGCTGGCCTTCATCTGAAAGAACTGGATTGCCCCTCCCCTCTAAGGAAAGGAGTGTGACAGTGTGTCCCTTATGAGATCTGAACATTGCCAGAGGATGTGAGCATGTCTGAGAGTCTGAAAGGTGGAAGGGGTGGATGGACCAGACCCAGTTCACGCACTACCCCAGATTTTCTTGGCCCCCCCACACCAATGGCCTTGGCCGTTTGCCTTGCCTCCGGGTCAGTGTGGCCCTAACCATCACTCGCTCTGTTGTCTTGGTTGTAAAGCTGTGCCCACGATCGCCGCTGCCAGCACGCACTGAGGAATCGCCAGCACAGCAGTCAGTGCCGAGAGAGACCACCTTGACTAGCTCCTGGCCAGACCGGCCACGTGGGCTCTGGCTTCCCCTGCAGCTGTGGGGGAGGCTGTCCCGAGACACCGTCGTTCCATGCCTCCTGTCCCAAGAGGCTCTGAGCATCCCAGCGACTGGCTGCTTATTGTGGAGCTGCAGCAGCCTAAACCCACCCCTGCTTACCATATTTCACCTCCTCCTCTGCCTCACTTCCCCTTTCGTTTTTAAACCTCCTTGGCTTCCCTGGGATTGCACCCTTCCCAGGAAACTGTCAGCACAGAAACTTTCATCTCAGCAAAAGTGAACCTGCAGCCGGGCACGGTGGCTCATACCTGTAATCCTAGCACTCTGGAAGGCCGAAGCAGGAGGATCACTTGGAGTTCAAGACCAGCCCGAACAAGAGCAAGACCCCACCTCTACCAAAAATAGAAACAATTAGCCAAGCATGGTCATGCATGCCTGTAGTCCCAGCTACTCAGGAGGCTGAGCCAGGAGGATCGCTTGAGCCCAGGAGTTTGAGGTTGCTGTGAGCTAGGTTGATGCCCCGGCACTTTACCCAGGGCAACAGAGAGAGATGCTATCTCAAAAAAAAAAGTGAACCTGGACCAAGACCTGGGACTGATTACTGCTCTGGAGAAAGAACTACACAAAATGAGGCTTGGGCCATCTTCTTGTGCCAGAAGGCAAAGAAATGATCACATACTAATTGTGTCGAGTCAAAAGGACACGGAGCCAATTTGAAGGGGCTCTGACTGGGCAAAGATGGGGTAATTTAGCATCAACAGAAATGTCTTGTAAGGGATTTAAACACATCAAATATAGTTTTTAAAATTATGGGTTCTTAATAACACTAGGAAAAAAAAATCACTGGTAGCTAGTCCACCAACTTAGTAATCTGAAAGATGATAAAGAAAAAGACATATGTATCTATTCTGTCTTTTCTATAAAAATTGTATTCCAGACTCACTAAACAGTGGATGGGGGAGAGATCTTCCTTTAAAAAGATTTCTACCTAATAAATGCAGAAAGAATGATATACTTAGAAAGTCAGCATTTTGCAAACCTGAATGAGATAATGGGCTAGACAATGACCATTAATAAACACTAATATCATCAGATAAAAGGTTGATAGAGAACTTGATAATGGCAGGACAAGGCTAATGTCTCTGAACCCACTGATCATTCTCAACATTAGAAAAGTGGGAGAAGCAGATACTCTGTTTCTCTAAAGTGGTGCCATAGAAGGCTCCACCCATGAACCTGATCAAGCCTTTAAATCTAACTACCAGGTTGCAGGAAACTCAGGGGACAGAAGAACAAGTTCAACATCAACACAATGATGCAGAAGCCAAGTCCCGAATGTGAGAACACAGTGACAAATGACTTCAGTTTTATTTCAACAAGTGTGATGTATTAACTTTGTTTTGCTCCTGATTAGAACAAACTAACTGCTAAAAGACATTATTGAGGCAATGGGGACATTTGAGAGCAGACTAGGATGAGAAGCTATTAAGAAATTTTTGCTAATTTTATTGGGTATGATAAAGTCATTGTCATTTTTTAAAGTTCTTATCTATTACAGATGAACTATTTTTGGATGAAATTATATGATTTCTGGGATTTGCTTTAAAATACTCCAGAAAAAAAAAAATGGGGATGAGAGACAAAACAAGAATGCAAAAATATTGGTAATTGTTGAAGTTGGGTGATGGGTACCATTCTCCCTACTTTTTTGTGTATTTGCTGGTTATTCTACTTTTTGCCCCCAGATCCATTCTCTGCCCTTCTCTGCCTTGCTCTGTGCCTTGGGAAGCCCAGCTATATTGACTGAATCCCACAGATGATGTGGTTGGCTGGTTTCTGGTTGGGTTTGGCCGACAGTGGTCACCTGCAGTAGATCAGGAGTGGGAAAAAGAACAGTGGGGTGTGTATCCCCTCCTTCCTTCTCTGCCTCCCTGTGATTCTAACAGTGGCTTCCTTCCACCCTAGCAGTTGTACTGGGCTGTTAACGCTGCCATCACAAAGCACCATGGACTGGGTGGCTTAAACAACGCACATTTATTTTCTCACAATTCTGGAGACTGGAAATCCAAGGTATCAAGGTGTCAGCAGGGTTGGTATTGTCTAGGCCTCTCTCTTTGGCTCACAGATGGCCATCTCCTCCCTGTGCCTTAATCTCTTCCTATAAGGACGCTGGTCATGTTGGATTAGGGCCCACCCTAGTGACCTTGTTTTAACATAATTATCTCTTTAAAAACCTGTCTCCAAATACATCACATTCTGAGGTACTAGAGGTTAGGACTTCACCATGTGAATTTGGGGGGTAGGCAACTCAGCCCATAACAGCAGTGGTTGGCAAACTTTTTCTGCAAAGGGTCAGGTATGATAAATATTTTGGGCTTTGTGGGCAATGCAGTCTCTGCCACCACTACTCAACTGCAGGTGGAGCACAAAGCAGCTATATAATATGTAAATGAATGAGCTCGGCTATGTTCCAATAAAACTTTATCTGTAAAAACAGGTGGCAGGTCCCCAGGCCGTTGATCCCTGACCACTGCACCTGATGGCAGCTCCTGTGGGTGAGCTCCTTTTCCAGGCGTTCACTTCTCAATGGTCTCTGTCCCTACATTAGGCAGAGGTGGTAACCGCCTCCCACTATTGCTAATCCTTGGGTGTCACACTTTCCCTCTCTGGTGTCATTAACCCTGATGACACCTTCTTTGGTCCCTTCATCCAGTTCTCTTGTCTACATGCCTTTTGAGTGCATTGTCTCTTTCTGCTTAGGACACAGACTGATATCATATGATTGGAAGTTTATGTTACAAACAGTCAGCACATGCTTGAAACCACCCATAAAAGAATCATAATGAAAAAAAAAGGACAGGTTTGGGAGGGAAAATTGATATGACTTGGCTCTTGGCTCTGCAGAGAGCCCTAATCAGTGGGGTGGGGCTGAGATGGAGAACAGGACAGATGCTCATGAGCGAGGACCAAGAGGGGGCTGACCAGGCAGAAAACATGCCCAGGACCCGACACAGCCAAGACAGGGGCCAGACCACACAGGACACCAGCCACAGGCTTCAGTGGCTGCCCCCTGGGGACCAGGGTCGGACCAGTTACCCCTCAGCAGCCCCAGGGCAAGGAGCCGCCCTGGATTGGCCACTCTGTAGCTGCGACCAGCAAGGATCGAAGGCCACCAACTCCCTCTGCTGCCACATGTCTCCACGAGTCCAGGCATCAGGGAGGGGCAGGAGGGAAATCTGAGCTATTGGGAGGTTTTTAGGTCAAGAGGCTAATCATGACTTTTAAAAACTTGCCATCAAACTAGCTTCACAGGATTGGACTAAAAGTCCTTTATCCAGCAGATGGGAGCCGGTGCAGAAAATCAGAGCAGTTATAAAGAAATAAAGAAACTGCATTTCCTTGCACCCTCCAGAGAAGGGTGGGTGACTTTGAGGACGGCTCCGCCTGTGTTAGCCGTCACTCAGGCACCGGCTAGAAAAAGGCGCCTGCGTTCCCAGGGCTGAAACGGGCGCACCCGGGTTTCAGATGAAACGTGTTCTTGGGTAAACCGCACAGATGCAGACGCACACCAGCCAAGGGGAGCTTCACTGAAAGACAAAGAGGAGGTCCTGCGCCCCACCCACCCTGGGAGCCGGTCATCAGTTCTCGCCCAGGACACTTGCGGTCACAGGGCCCGAGGAGACTTTCCTCCGTCACATTCCGTCATCCTGTGCGGCTGCCTGGAGTCCCCAGGAAATGAAGCCTGCAGGCTGCTAGCCCGCCCTGCTCTCCTCCTTCCTCTCCTTTATGAATCTCACTCTCCTCGTGTGCCGCTCAGGAAATTGCACACATTTCCTCTGCCTTTGGTGCTCGCCAGCAGCACAGATGTTTGCCCCGTTCACCTGCCACTGCAGGCCACCGGGGAGGAAACGAGGAGGACAGAGGAGCTCATCGGAAGGGAGCGCAGACCTAGGGTCAGGGCAGAGCCAGGGGGCACGGGGACCGGAGGACGTCGTTGATCTAGATGGCTGTGGGCCCCTCCCCTATTTAGAGACCCCCCCCCTTCCTGGATATGCCTGTAAACCTGTATCGAAAAATACTCTCATTCATCCAGAACCATCCAGTGGCGACAGTGCTGTCCTGGCTCCAGTCATGGGAGAAAAGAAGAAATTGTCAAAAATAACTGACATTATTTCACTCATTCATCCAACCAGCACTTACCGAGTGCCTGATTTGAGCAGGTGGGTGTTTTGAGCACTGGGGATAAAGTGATAGACAATAGAGTGGGAGTGAGACTCATACATGTGTGTGTGTATGTACTGCATATGTGCATGTGCATGCCCACATACAAACACGTGTATACATGCTCACATATGTGTAAGTGATACCTGTGCAGCATGACATAGGGATGTGTGATATGAAGAAAAGTCAAGCCGGGTCAGAGGGGACAGAAGGTCAGGGAGGTTCCCTGAGGAAGGCCCAGGAAGAGCAGTCCCATTGTCAAGACGGGACATTAAGCCATGGAAAGATTAGGAACTTGATGAGTTCACACAGTTGGTAAGTCAGGATTTGAATCTTTTTCTCTGGGCTGCTCCGACCTCGCCAGGGCACTGGTCTCCCTCGCAGCCTCTCTGCCTCCTGCCTTAGCAGCTCCGTTCCGCTGTGGCAGCAGTCGGCACACTTTTTCTGCAAAGGGCCACTGTATTCTGCAAAGATAGTAAATATTTTAGGCTTTGTGGCCATATGGTCCCTGTTGCCACTACTCTGAGTTTTGCCCCACTTGCCGGGGCTTTGAAGAAATTATCTGACACCACCCCCTCCATGCCTCTGTTTCCTCACTTATAAAATGGAAATCAACAAAGTCCATATTTCAAGGTGTTTTGTTGAAAGTGTTACATGAAACAACATGAGTAAAGTGCTTGGCACAGAATAGACACTGAGGCTGGCTGCTGTGTTTGTGTGCTGGGTCCGCCACACCTGCTGCTTCTACATCCACACACCATGGGTCTAAAATATTTGCAAAACAAAATAATAAAAAAAAATAATACAATAAAAACAATGCAAATTAAAAAATGATGCAGTATAACACTATTTACATAGCATTTACATTGTATTAGGTATTAGAAGTAATCTAGAGATGATTTAATATATACAGAAGGATGTGCATAGGTTATATGCAAATGCTGTGGCATTTTATTATATAAAGACTTGAGCTTCTGTGGATTTTGGTATCCTTGGTGTCCTGCAACCAGTGCCCTGTGAAGACCAAAGGAAGACTGTACTTACCACTCCCCTTGCAAGTCCACACGTGCTTAAGGGCTAGCGGGCCACCTGTCCTGCCCTCACACCTGGTCCCAGCTGGAAAGACCTCTCTCTGCCTTCCAGCCCTCGGCCTCAGAACAGCCCCAACGCCAGACTGACTGAGCTCAGGCTGAAGCAGCCCCTTGGAGGAGAAGGCAGGCCCTCACACAGACATTAGCTTAATATTCCTTGCTTAATCTCTCACAGCAATTCTGTCCATTTGATAGGAAGGAAGACTGAGGGTACAGAGGATGAGAAGTGCTCAGTCTATGACACCATCCTGTGCTGACACGCCATGGCGCCTCACAGACAGATGTTTAGCTGAGAAAGCATCAGGACAAACGAATGGTCTAGAGGTGAGAGAGAAGGCATCCCCTCCTCCTTTTCTATTCCTTCCTCAGACCCCCTTCAACTGTCCCTCAGGTGACCCAGTATCCCCAGTTTGGTGCCCCGCTCCTATGTCCCTTTCTGGAAACTTCCATGCAGACCTTCCCCTGGCTCCCTGAGACTCCATCAAAACCTGCCTTTCCTGTTCCCATACTCTCTGGGCCTCCTAATCCTGCAAATACATTCAAATAATAGCAAAAGCTGATCTGACAGTGGGAAGAACTCCCAGAGCACATATTAGCCGAAATTAACAAGCTTTTAATTCCTTAGAGGGTGGACAAGTCACAGTGATGTTGCCAGACATCTTGGCAGACCCTTGAAGATATTTCCATTTGGATGCTCGGTTGATATTTCCATTTAGTTGAGGAAAGAGAAATGGAAGCTTTGTCCTCTTTGACAAATGAGAAAACTGAGGCTCAAAGAGTTTATATGCCTAGTGATGCCCTTCTATTTAGATCATACTGGAATATCTACTGCTGAAATCAGAAATACAAGTGTTATCACATATATACAGAATTTAGCACAATAAATATTATTTATTTGACCCTCTCTCTTCCCAATCCATTAGCCTCAAGATGGAGGAGATATTTAGGTAAAGTGAGGAAGGAAAATTGAAGCAGGATATTAAGGAGGAAGAGTTCCAAATGGATATAGAGAAGGATAAAGTATAAAAGGGTTATTTGCACAGATATATTGCACATTCACCCAATCACAATTTAAAATTTACCAAACCTAACCCATTTTCCATAAATCCATTTACTGACGCGTAGAAACTCCACTGAGAAATCTATTTCTGATCTCCTCTTGAAGAGTTATTTAATTCCCAGGGAGCCTGGCCCAGTGGCAAGATATTTCCAAGAAAAGGGAGGGGAATCTAATTCTCTATTTGGTTTAATTTTGTTCTGGAACACTTGTGAAGGCTCAAATCCAAGGGGAGAAAAACTATCCTCCCACTTCAGGCAGCCCAGCAAGGACATAAAGAGAAAGCAAAAATTTCCCTGTAAAAAGAGGTAGACACAAGCTCACTCATAGATGCACCACTTTACAAACATATAATTTGCTTGAATTTGGAGGGAAATAGGACTTCCAAGGACCAAGAGAAGGTGGAAAAGATGGAACAAAGAAAATGTTTCTTTCTTGTAAAGGTTTGAAAGGGAGTATGCTTTAACAGTGGAAGAGGAGTGAGAATGGATGGATGGATGGATGGATGGATGCCTGGCTGGATGGATGGATGCCTGGCTGGATGGATGGATAGGAGTGTGGATAGATTAGTGGGTGGATATATGGTTGTACGTGTGGATGGGTCGGTAGATGGAAGGGTGTATGGATGGATGGATAGATGGGTGGATGTGTGTATGTTGGTGGATGTATGTATGTATGTATGAATGGATGGATAGATTAGTGGATGGATGTATGGCTATGTGTATGTGTATAGGTGAATAGCTAGCAGGGTGCATGGATGGATAGTTAGATGGGTGGATGCATATAGGTACATTGATGAATGGATGGATGGAGGGGTAAATGGATGGGTGGATGGGTGATGAATGGCAGGGTAGGGGAGCTAGGTGGATAGCTAAATCCTGCTCATGCTGGAATTTTGTTTGGCCTGCATGATGTCTCGAAAACATCTGAATGAGTCGCTCTCATTTAAAGCACAGAAAAATTTACCTAAAAACTCAATTTCTGGCTTCTCTTAAAAAATCAGGGGAGCTGGCAAACGGGGACCACATTTCTTTGTGGCAACAGCTGACTAGAACTGGGTTATGCTGTCTCTTTGGGTGGGGCGTGCACACTTCAGTCCTCCAGAATCCCCACTGCTACTCATGGGCTCTAACAGCTGCCAACTTCGCTCAGTCACAGTGTCTACCCGCCCAGGAGGTGTTTGTTAATACAACAGAGGGCCTAGTGCATATAGGCCCTGTCCTAGTCTATTCAGGCTGCTGTAACAAAATACCTTTGACTGGGTGATTTAAGAATAACAGATGTGCATTGCTCACAGCTCTGGAGGCTGGGAGGTCCATGACCAAGGGACCAGCAGAGCGATGGCTCACTCCCCGCCTCATAGATGGTGCCTCTTGCTGCGTCCTCACCTGGCAGAAAGGACCCGGGAGCTCCATCCACCTCTTTAGTAAATCACTAATCTCATTTGTGAAGGCTCTGTCATTGTGACCTAATTCCCTCCTAAAGGCCCCACCTCTCAATACTATCACATTGGCAATTAAGACTCAACTTATGAATTTTGGGATGACGTATTCAGACCACAGCTGACCTTTTAGTAAGTAGCCACATAGTGTGTTAGTCAGTGACTGTGCCCTCAGGGCCCTAAAAAGAGGCTCTCTATGTCCCTTCTCACTACTTCTATTGTCACAGTCCACAGTCCAGGGGATGGAGATGGGGCTCCTGCCATGGGTTACACGAGACCTCAGTTCTCGCCCCTCCGTACAATCTTTAGCATGGAGACCTAGCCTCTTAGCAACACATAGACCACTGCAGCATCCAAGCTCCCACGTGCTTGTTCAACTCTACACTTGCCCCATTGCAAACTCAAATATCTAAGCCGGCTTTCCTGTTAGTTCGTTTTCTTTGTTCATGCTATTTCCTCTGCCAGGGATGGGCCCTCCCACTGCTCTTGACCTGTCTGGTGAACACTTCATCTTCAATCCTCAGCTCAAGTATTACCTTCTTCTTGAAGGATTGTCTGAGCATCCCTTCCAGACACAATGAGATGCTCCCTTCTCGCTGTCCCCACCACTTGGACAATTATACAAGCACAGTTCCATGCGGTTGTCTCTCCCAGGAACCACAACACCTTGCCGGGGGCCTCAGGGCTCAGCACAGTTCCCGGCATGTGGTTGGTTTCCATACACATTTGTAGGTGAATGAGTCATTGCTATGCAGTAACTCCTGGTCACTGAGACATCAAGGAAGTGCTTCACTGTGTGGCCAGTCACGTTGTGCACTGCATGTGCACTGCAGGGAGCGATACTGACATAGATTGAAGTAGGGATGGAGCCCCCCAAATCATGCAGTACATAGCAACATGGGTGGATCTGCCCATAGCCCATACTGGCTCTGGATCACGTGGTCCTTCCTCCTAATTATATCCAGATACAGTTGCTTTCTACTAACTGGGTGCCACCAGTCTGGGGGCCCTTGCTGAGTGAAACATCTATTATTCTCTAATGAATATATACAATATAGAGCCTCATCGTCCTCCTCATAATCTTTCTCTTCCTCTGTCTTTTGGTTCTAAGCCTTAGTTCCTGACAGCCTCTACTATTAAGTTTTCAATTCTGATTCCAAGGGTGGAGCTTGCCAAACTATTCTCCGTGCCCTGCCCCCATTCTGTCTTCCTTCTTGCCCCCTCTTGTAGCTGAAGGCTATGCCCCTCTCATCCTCACTTTGGCCCTTTTTTCTAGGAGTTGGGCCAACAGTTGGTGAGCAGCATTGAGGTTTTCCAGGCTAAGGGACCTCCACTTCACTACCCCTTGCACAAGTTCCTGGTTTGTTTCACCCCAAAGCCCATGTTCTTTGAAACTTTTCCTCATACCCTACCGCCAACTTAAGTAAGACTCCCCTGGCAGACAATGCATTACTGGCCCAGAGTCCTTTGTGTCACCTGACCTCTCCTGGCTGCCTTTGGGTGAGGATGGTGATAGCTCTGCATCCTTTTCCCTCCACCCAACCCACCTCCTTGCCTCTCGTGTAGTCACATGGCCAACAGCCTAAGAATTTGCCCAAGGGCACTAGGGAAGTGGTCTTAAACTGTCTTTCATGAGGCCCTTGTGAGTCAGAGGGGCAGGGGGCTTGGAGCTTGGAAGGGGACTGGCCGATACTAGGAAGTCCAGTGCTCCAGTGGAGGCCTGCTGCTCTGTAAGTGCTGACACTTACAAATCAGTTTGCAAACTCTCTGTTGAGTCTGCTTCTTTTCCAGTACAAAAGTGGATCAGTGTTTATATTGCTTTTCCCACAGGTGCCTGGTACAGGGTGTGTGGACAGCTGCTGGGTAGGTCTCTATATATCACTGTGTAGCCTCTTCTCTGGTAGCAGTAACTACGATGATGAGTTATTTTATATTGTGACTATCTTCCATTTCGTATGGTTCATGGGAGCTGCCTGCCTGGCCACTAGTCTACATATGTGACCTAAGCCAGATAATCAAATAACCCATCCTCTAGGCTGTAGTAATTTGCCAAGTGAGGGGGGCATGTGACCCACACAGGCCAATCAGGGGTTTACCTGGGATTTATATATGGGGTCCTGGAGAGAAAAGCTCTTTTCTTCTACTGGAGTTTCCAACTAGAGTGATGTAAACCCAGAGCTTACACAGTTTGGAATCAGACCTCCCACCTCCTCTTCCATTCCATACACTAGAATGTATGAAGTCATAAACTGAGAGAAGCAGACTTGGAGATAGGAAGAGAAAATGGCAAAAATAATTGGAGAGAAAGGGAGAGACAACAATGGAGGGAAAGAGAGGCCTCCAGGGCCCAGCATATTCTTATGGCTGATACATCACCTCCTCTGTCCACTTCAGCTACTCTCTCTGTCTCTGCCTCTCTCTTTGTGTCTTTAGCTTGAACTCCTGCCACCAAGCATGCAAGCCTTGGGTCCTGTGAGGGAATCTGAATGGCCCAGATGGTCACCCTTGTCCCTGTTGGACTCAACTTTTGCCCAAAACTATGACAATGACTGTAGGGATTGGCTGCCCTTCAGTGAAGGGTCCACTTCCCTCTGACCAGGCAGATGAGTCACAAGGTGCCACCGGGGCAGCTTAGGAGAAGAACCCCCTGAAATGAGGCCAAGGTGTAGTAGACATTCTGGCACTGTGCCCATCTAGGTTTGCCAGTCATCCCCAAATCGTATTCTTTAATATTTAATATTTATTGATTAATGGGTGGAAAATACTGAGTTGATTATTTGTAACTCACTCATACAGAGTCCCAGAATTAAATAAAAGGGAACAAGA